AGAAATCTTGTTATTGATGAACTGTTAAGCACATCCCACAGGAACTATGGAGGTGATTGGATACCTGACCAAAGCTATTTTGGTATCTGATAAACCCTAACTATGACTGACACTGTCATAAAACTGAATATGCAGTTATAACCTTTTGTAATGAATTAAACTTTAGGGCAATAAACTTGAAACTGAGATAGTCATAAACTTTTAGAGCTAAAAGAAAATCACAGAGATCATGAACCAAGTCTTTCATTTTCTGTATGAAGAAACCAGCCCAAAGCAGCCAAGCTAACCAACAATCTGACTGTGATTGCAGCTAATTAACTGCAGAGCCAAGACCAGAACTTCACGTTTCTGATTCCCAACGCAAAATACTCTCTTTTCAGAATACTTTCTTTAGGCCGCTCGGAGCTGGAAATGCAACTGTTGGGAGCTTCGGAGGCTGCAGAGCCGTAGGCGGCCGTGGCCTGGGAGGTCCGGGCGCTGTGACCAGGCTGCGGTCACTCGTCTCTTCCTCTCTCTGGCCACCTCCTGTCTCGAAAATAACTTTTTTACTATAAAGAAAGGAGAAAAATTGTAGCCGTCCGCCCCTCCCTCCCTCCCTCTCTCTCTCTCTCTCTCTCTCTCTCTCTCTCTCTCTCTCTCAGCCCTCAGACCTGTGAGGGAGCCCGGACCAACCCCGGGCCAACACCGTGATAGGCAAGATGGCCGCCAACGAGGCCTTCATCTCCAAATTCCTCCCCATCAAGGGGCTCACGAGCGAGCGACAGCTGCAGTCCTTCCGCCAGAACCTGCAGGAGTTGCTGGCAGAACATTAGAAACATCACTGGTTCCCAGAAAAGCCCTGCAAGGGATCAGGTTACCGTTGTATTCCCATCAACCATAAAATGGATCCTCTCTTGGACAGGCAGCACAGCCGATTGGACTGAGCAGTCAGGAGCTGTGCAGGCTTCTCCCAAGTGAACTCACACTCTGGGTTGACCCTTACGAAGTGTCCTACAGAATTGGAGAGGATGGCTCCATCTGTGTGCTGTACGAAACCTCACCAGCAGGAGGTAGCCCCCACAACAGGACCAACGTGCAAACGGTAGACAGCAGAATCAGCTGTAAGGAGGAACTTCTCTTGGACAGAGCAAGCCCTTCCCAACACTACAATATAATGACTGTATCAGGTTAAGATATAGTCTATGGATGGGCCATCTTATAATGGATGGATAAATTTGATACTTGCTTTGGGTGGGCGCCTCTTGGGGGATGGATTATGGAATTTAAACCATGTCACAGCTGTGAAGATCTGGCACAAAATAGAGTGCTAAAAAAAATTTTTAAGTGACAGTGCCATAGTTTGGACAGTACCTTTCAATGATTTAATGGCCTGTGAGTCCAAGTAAATGATCACCTTATTTGCAAGGGAGAGAAGTCCTAGGGTGGTTTCAGTTTCTCCCAGACACGATGCCTAAATTTTTACATCAGTCCCTTGAACGCAAATCTGTATTTCAAAGAACCTTTCTCTGCAGTAGAACTTGCACTATGACACTTAAAGTTGTTATCCATTTGGGCAGCTCAACATTTTAAACGTGGTAGTACTGGAAATTTTATGACAAGACTTCTACCTAGCTCTTAAATATAAATGTACATAAGACAAACTAGTAAGTATGACCTGGGGAAATGGTCAGACCTTGTATTGTGTTTTTGGCCTTGAAAGTAGCAAGTGACCAGAATCTGCAGTGGCAACAGCCTTTGAGAAAGACCCTTAAAAAGACACTATCTCAAGTGTGGTGTTAGCACCAGCCAGCTCTCTGTACATTTGCTAGCTTGTAGTTTTCTAAGACTGAGTATACTTCTTATTTTTAGAAAGTGGAGGTCTGGTTTGTAACTTTTCTTGTACTTAATTGGGTAAAAGTCTTTTCCATAAACCACCATCTATTTTGTGAACCTTGTTAGTCATAGTTTGTTTGGTAAATTATGAACTGGTGTGAATTTGTACAGTTCATGTGTATTGATTGTGGCAGAGTTGTACAGATTTCTGTATTTTGGATGAGAGATTTTTCTTCTCTCTATAATAAATTGTTTCTTGGCATTTAAAAAAAAAAGAATACTTCCTTTAGAAAAATTCTGTTTTAAAAGCATGGAAGTATGGACACATTAAGTAATACCAAAAATTCCAAAGGCCTATTACAAAAACACAAAAATATAAATTTATCATAAATTTGACCTAAGATAAATGTATTAACAAAAATCAATATGGTTTAATTACTTAGTCTTATTATTGATTTATTGATTTATTTTGCATTCTGAGAAAGGCTCTTTAAGACTGATTTAGATGGCTCAGGTCATTTTTCTTTAAGCTCTGAGGGAAATGTTGATGTATTGCCTTTTATTCATTCCAATTAGCATATGTTTTCCAAATCATACCTTCATAACTTAGAATCTTTAAAAACAGCAATTGTGATATCTAAGTCACTGAAGTCTAAAAGAATTTTAGTTGCAGGAATTTGGAACCTTGCTAAACAATGTCCTCCACAAATCAACAGCATCAGAATCACTGGGGAATGTGTTAGAAATACAAACTCTCAGGTCCCCTTTCCTAGACCTAGACCTACTGTATCAGAATCTGTGTGTGAACAAGATCCCGGGTGATTCTGGTGCACATTAGAGTTTGAGAGTTAGAGAGTTAGGAGTCTCAGAACCTGGTCCCATTTGTTGTCATTTCCGTGTCTCTTTCTTCCTCGCCTTTTTTCATCTTCTCCTCCCTTCGCCCCACCCCACCCCAAAAGGAACATAAAAATATCAGTGTGTGCTTTTTAATAAGCAAAAAGAAGTTCAGGTCAAAAGTGTATAGAAGGGAGGAGAGGAAATGTATCTCTTCATTCTGAGATGGCATGGCTGACTGATTGGCTGATTATATTTATACGTCTTGGGAATGTTTTTAGTATCTAGCAGCTCTGCATTCTTTTCCCGCCTGTATGTTCTCCCGGAGTCATTATTCAAATTGGCCCCTGCCCCCAAAACCAAGGTTGTGTAACTGCGTGAGACATGGAGTGCCGGAGTTAATTATACAGTGTTGAATTTACAGAGTGAGCCACAGGCATCGAAAGCAGGGACTGCCTGTTCCAGCTAAGGACAGAGAGCCGCAAAGGATTTATTGTTGGTTATGTAACCTGGGAACCTCTATGAATAGCAGGTATTGTGAGGCAGAAACGGTTGTAATTAAAAGCAAAGTTAAATGCCTGAGTCCAGGCCTCCGTATAGGAAGATGACTCTAGTGAGTGTTTCTTCTCGTGAGTGACGGATTCAAAAAGTCGAGTGTAGTGATTAGGCGCTTAGACTCTAAGCTAAAACTTTCTTGGTTCCAATCTCAGCTCATCTGCTTCTTGGCTCTATGACTGTGAGTTACTTAACCTCTCTAACCTCTTCATTGGAAAATAGGGAAAAGAAAACGATGGTACCTACTTCATGGGGTTATTGTAAACAGTAAATGAGAAAAGCTATGTAAACAATACCAAGCACAATGTCTGAAACATAGCACTCAGTAAGCATTCGGGTTTATTTATTTGTTCATTCACTTATTAATGAAGATTCTTCTCATACGTTTCCCTTGTGAACAACAGCACTCTTTTATGCAGTTTTTCTGGGACTTGGCTGTGGTTTGTGACCATGACAAAGAGCTACAGCTTTAGCTAAAGGAATTCTCTGGGGTTAAAGAGTGAGTGTCTGTTGATCACCTCTGGGATAATGCGTATGTGCTGGTGGTATTCGTAGGTATTGTCATGAAAGAAAATGAGGAATATTATACAATCCCTTGAAGCACTTAGGTTCTAAGTGGAAAGGGATGAGATACACATATACACGTACACGGAAGAAAAGCTCGACAGATGATTCCAAAGCAACACATTCACATGCTGAGAATTCTGTAGTATAATTGAGGATGCTTGAGTGATTGACAGGCAACCATCAGTATTGGTCATTAGCAGCTTTTGTTTTCTTCAGGTGTCTTCTACAAAGAAGAAAGTAAAAATGGGAGAACTGTTAGATTAGGCAAAACGGTAGTTTGACATGCACTGAAGATTTGTTTTTAATCTCATTTTCAACATAGATACTTTTGAATCTTGACTTAGAAGCCAGTTAAGCACTACAGGGCAGAATGTAAGAAAGTACTCACACTGATATGGTTAAAACAGAAGCCAGCCTCGACCCACACTGTGCTTATGTGCAAGTAGAATGGGGGCAAAAGGGTGAAGTTCTGAAGCGTGCTAATCAGGTAGTGTTCTCTCATTCCACCATTCCGTTTTATATGGACTACTTTTTTTTTTTTACTGACTACTTTTTAATACTTTAGAAGGAATTCAGGCTTTGGAGAAAATGGGAAAGTTAGAGGAAGTTTATAAATGCTCGATAAAAGGGCTATAAATTAGGTGTTAAGATGAAACATTATAGAGCTTGAGGTATTTTCCATCTTGAGGAACTTAGGCAGAAAATGTGGCTCAGATAGAGTCATGTAGAAAACAGTGTTTGTTCCTCGTTCTCTGTCCCCTACGGCCCCCGCTCCATGTTCAGAGCAGTTTTAGGAAGATGCTTCTGTCTGCAGGTCTGGAGGGAGTGGGGCAGGAGGGAACAGACTTGGGCTGCAGAGAGCAGAGACGGGGCAGTTGGTAGCAGGAAAGCAGTGGGCAGCAGTCGTATTAACATTTGGGGAAAATTCAAAGACCCCAGACTAGGGCCATGGCAGTAGTCTGAGAGGCAGAAATGGTTTTCAGGGGTCACCTTTGAAACTATCCATCATGGACATCTTAACATGGAGAAAAGAAGCTGTTTGGGAATATGCACCCAGGGCCATCTCTAATCTAGAGACAAGTAAAAATCAGCGTCGGTCAGTGGGTAATTAAATGTCATGTGAGGGTCATTCAGGGCTAATACTTTCAGCCCAGGATGCCCTCACATGTTGGATTCGCACTCTCTGGTCCTGTGTCTAACCTGGCTTCCTTTCTTTTGCTTCTTTTCTACAGTGCCCACGTATCCCAAGTCAGCAATGTGTCGGCAACGGGAGAGTAAGTGATACGGATTTTGGGCTTTTTTCCCCCTCCTCTCATGTATTAAACAGTAAAAAAGCTTTTCTAATGGTGTATAGCGTTAGAAGATTAATATGATAAACAACGAATGATGATTTTTAAAACCACCCAGAGGAGAAGACCAAATAAGAAGTGTTCCCGTTTGAGCTTCTGTGTGGGTGTGTGACTGGAGACCCCTCAGCCGTGTGAACATATGAGATTTTCTGTTTATTTTAGTCGAAATCGTGTCAGTTAGTACGTGCAAAGCGGTCTGTGTGCGTTGGGAGGTGTCTTGCCGTTAAAGGTGGAAACACGAACCGTGTGTTTTACTTCTTCCTTTGTTCGTTTGAATCAACCTCCATTTACGGAGTGCCTGCTATATGCCAAGCATAGTGTTAGGTGTCTAATGTCAAAGAAGCCTTGTGCTCTGCCTTTGGGGCCTTTACAGTCTGATAGGACACAGAAAAGGAGGCAAGTTAGTGATGGCAGCAAGCCCTTCTTCCACAGGGCAGTGGCAGTGCTCTGTTGATTATGTCCATCGCATGTCTTTTTCCTCCTAAGACGACCATCCGCACTTAGACTAAAATCTAAACTGCAGCTGTCTACCCCTGCCTGTTCGTTGTGCTTCACCCATATGACATTGCTGGGACCTGGGTGGGCCTTCTGGAGCATATTCCATGAGCAGGGATCAGGCGGATGAGAAGGGGCGGATGTGTGATAAGGAAGAAGAGAAAAGCATTAGAAGGAACACTAATTGGTATGAATGTGGCTCTAATAGGATGAGTTGGGATTTTTTTTTTTTCCCTTCCTTGTTATGGGAGGAAGCACTCAGAGGGCAGATATGACGTCTTTTATCTTTGAGAATTTTAAAGAGATTCCAGAATTATACCAAGACTGATGTGTTCTTGTCTGTTTCCTAATGACCTTTACTCCTTATATGTCTTGTATAACGTTTGGAAACGGTGTGGCTTTGGTATGTATGTATATATTAATTTATTCACTTTCCTATATACCACTATGAGGTAATCTCAAATCGTTGGGATGTAGAGTTCTAGATATTAAAGTTCTAATGCCTAGTCATTCTGTACTTGCTCATTGTTGTAAAATAGTTTTAATGAAATTACTATGAGTCTATTATAAAACTACATTTGGAAAATGTAAAGTCCTTAAATTTTCAAAACTCATTGTATTTAACTGAATGTGTTTCTCAGTCTGACCATTTTTAAAATATATATGTGGTTTTTAAAAATTTTAACAGCTTTTTTGAGGTGTATATACAAGAAACTATACACATAATTAATGTATTGTATACTTAATGTATACAATTTGATGAGTTTGGATGTGATTCTTTTTTCAAGTGAAGGAAAACATGCTTTGAGGAGTGTCAGTTTAGAATTTTTCATGCCTGCTTATTCAGAATTAAATAATGAAGTGATAAAAAATGGATTTAGACACATTGAAAGATTATATAGCTTTAAAAATGATACCTCATCTGTCTTATCATGCTCTCTTTTTAGCCCCTGAGCTTACCTGTTTTCTTCCGGTTGAACAAAGTAAATCTATCCTTCCATCTCCAGTAATATACATTGGGGTGTTTGCATGAATACAGCTTCAAACATATATATTACAATTTAATTGAATAGAGGTTCAGAAAGATTCTACCATTCTGTTATGAGGAGTAATTGCTCTGGTAAGGTGTTCTTTTTTAATAGCATTATTGCCTATATAATTTTATCTTAAAGGGATTCCAAAGAGATAATAGGCATCATAAAATCGTTTGTGCCAATTTGCTTTGTAAATCATACTGTCTCCCTCTGCAGAACTGGTATAAATCTGGAAGAAACTCACCTTTGTAAGAATAGGTCCATTATTATTCTATGAGGAAAAAATCTTTCCTCATTCTGCCTCATATTAAATGATCTGTATTTCCTGAATGCCTCCTACAATTGTTGCTAGACCTGCCGTGAGTGTTTCAGTAATCCCGGATAGAAAACACAATTATCACATTGGTGGAATTTGTTCTGTGTAGCTTTGTTTTTAATACACAGCGCAAATATTTGGGGATTAACGCCTCATACTGTCTTTGCTCATGAAGCTGTAGTAGATGTTCCATGGAAAATGCTGATATTTCCAATATTATGGGAACTTTTTTTTATTGAAGTATAGTTGACTTACAATGTGTTAATTTCTGCTGTACAGCAAAGTGATTCCGTTATACACACACACACACACACACATATATATATATATACACATTCTTTTTTCATATTCTTTTCCATTATGGCTTATCATAGGCTATTGAATATAGTTCTCTGTGCTCTACAGTAGGACCTTGTTGTTTCTCCATTCTATATATAAAAGCTTACATCTGCTGACCCCAGCCTCCCACTCCATCCCTCCCCCAGCCTCTTCCCCCTTGGCGACCACCAGTGTGTTTTCCATGTACGGGGACATATTTTTAAACGCAGTTATTGATAGGTTTAATTGCTTGATTGACTCTGCATTCTGTTTTACCAGACTCTTAGAAAGAACCATCCGGTCAGCTGTCGAACAACATCTTTTGGATGTTAATAGCTCTGGAGGCCAAAGTTCAGAGGACTCAGAATCTGGAACATCATCAGCATCTTTCTCCACATCCACCAAACAGCGACGACGCCAGTCCAAGGAGCAGGATGAAGTTCGACATGGCAGTGACATGTGAGTCGGCATTGGTACTTCTTGTTTGCATTTGCTCTTCTTCTTTTAAAAATATACACCCGGGGGCTTCCCTGGTGGCGCAGTGGTTGAGAGTCTGCCTGCTGATGCAGGGGACACGGGTTCGTGCCCCGGTCCGGGAAGATCCCACGTGCTACGGAGCGGCTGGGCCCGTGAGCCATGGCCGCTGAGCCTGCGCGTCCGGAGCCTGTGCTCCGCAACGGGAGAGGCCACAATAGTGAGAGGCCCGTGTACCACCAAAAAAAAAAAATTCTACAAACAGTAAGTGCTGGCGAGGGTGTGGAGAAAAGGGAACCCTCTTGCACTGCTGGTGGGAGCATAAATTGATACAGCCACTATGGAGAACAGTATGGAAGTTCCTTAAAAAGCTAAAAACAGAACTACCATATGACCCAGCAATCCCACTACTGGGCATATACACAGAGAAAACCATAGTTCAAAAAGATACATGTACCCCAGTGTTCATTGAAGCACTATTTACAATAGCCAGGACATGGAAGCAACCTAAATGTTCATCAACAGAGGAATGGATAAAGAAGACGTGGTACGTATATATAATGGAATATTACTCAGCCATTAAAAGGAACAAGACTGGGTACTTCGTAGAGACAGGGATGGACCTAGAGACTGTCACGCAGAGTGAAGTAAGTCAGAAAGAGAAAAACAAATATCATACACTAATGCGTATATGTGGGATCTTAAAATATGGTATAGATGATCTTATTTGCAAAGCAGAAATAGAGACACAGACATAGAGAGCAGATGTATGGATACCAAGGGGGAAGAAGGGGGTGGGATGAATTGGGAGATGGGGACTGACATATATACAATATTGATACTATGTATAAAATAGATAACTAATGAGAACCTACTGTGTAGCACAGGGACCTGTACTCAATGCTCTGTGGTGACCTAAATGGGAAGGAAATCCAAAAAAGAGGGAATATATGTATACATATAGCTGATTCACTTTACTGTACAGTAGAACCATTGTCAAGCAGCTCTACTCCAATAAAAACTTTTTTTAAAAAAGTGAACAGGGGCTGGACAGGGAGAGAAATATGAAACACAGAGTAACCACTCCTGCAGAATTTAAATACAGTTTCCCACATCTGGGGATATTTCTAGTATAAGTTACCTTGATTGTTTTTCAGTATCAACATCAGGGGAACAAAAGGTGGTGGGGAATGGTAGAGTCTAACTAATCATCTAAAGAGGTATCCATGAAGCTCTAGCCTTTCCCTTCATTTCTCTTTTCTGATGTCCCTTCACCGCTCATTCTGGCCACTCATTGTGGTCAAACCACAGCTGTGCATTGAGTGAAAAAATCTTGGGGTGTAAACTATTTATAGCAGAAGTAACTCACAGTCTCACCTGATGCTTTTCCTTAGCGTGTAGTCTGGGCGTTCAGAAGTCCCTTTCAAATGGTCCTTGTTGGCTTCACCTTCCTGGTCATAAGGCCCCTCCTAACCTGACACTATTGTACCTTGATAGTCCTTCTTCTTGAACTCTCAGCCCGTACTGAATGGCTGCTCTAAGCTCTCCACAGCTTTGGAGGAACAAGGACCTTATCTCTCAGAGCTCTAGATCTGCTACTTCTGCCCCCATGAAGGTCCTCTTCAGTATGTTCCCAGGAGATGCACTGACATGGTGTCAGTTGCAAAAAGGTTAAGAATCATTATTATAGCCTAAAGTAAGTATGTTTTTCTCAGTGTTTGCTTATACATAATTGACTCGTCATCTAAGATTTCCAACAGATTTTGCTTAAAAAATAAGGAAAGATTAAAGCTAGACTTTACTGTATTCAAAGCTATTAGCCATATGGAGTGGTTTTAAAATGTTTTGAAAAATAAAAATCTATGATCTGTTATTTCGCCTTTAACAACTTAGAGCTGCAACCATTTACAAAAATATCCTTTAAGCCAACAGTCACCACATTTCAAGGTGAGATTAAAGAGTCAATAAAGTCTGTAGTAATATCATCACGGCAGATTTTTTAAAGAAGCAATGTAGAGGGCAAAGACTATAAATACTTCATTTTAGTGCACATGATTTCTTATTTGTCTAAATTCATAAGGAAACATTATCAGGCTTATATTATTATTTGTTACAATAAAAATATGAAAGTTTAAGGAATGTATTCATTATGTAAAAGGGTTCAGTTTAATTCTTACTAAAAAAATTAACCATCTGCCAGGAGCATGGAAATGTCGAATCTTGGTGATGGATATAAGGAAATTCATGGTGATATTCCCTCTATTTTTCTATGTTTGTAAATTTTGTAATAAACTTTTGTTTAAAAAGAAAAGCAAGGCATGACAGGTGAAAATGGTTTCAATCTTCCAAAACACAGTGAACTAGAAAATTATGCATATCTTTTGTTATATAAATATTATATTAAATTCCTACTGCAAAGTAAAAAGAAAAGCGTGCTTAGAATAATGAAGAGTTCAGTATTGCTAGAACATTACGTGTGTATGTAGGGGTGAGGAGGAAACTCGCAAAAGAAGATAAACTAAAACTAAGATCTAGATGGTGAAAGTGAGAGGCCACCGAGATCTAAGTTCAGGTCAAATCACAGTGTTTCGGGTGTGACTGAGCCTGTCACCATGTCATGGGAAGGAGTCGTGCACCTGTGCTCCTGGTCACATGGGCACCGCAGTGAGAGGCACTCACCCACACAAGAGCAAAGAGTTTCCTTTGAGGAGAACAGGATTTCCACCTGAGCACAACTGCACGATCAGATTTTCGTATATTTATTTGGACAGGATTTATTCCAGTCATTCATTCACTATTCACAAAGATTAGAAAATAAACTTGGTCTTTTAATTTCTAAAAATAATTTTTAGCTTTTGTATTCATCTGCTCAGGCTGCCATAACAAAGTACCCCAGACTAGGGGGCTTAAGCGACAGAAATGTATTTTCTCACAGTTCAGAGAGGCTGGAAGTCCAAGAGCAAGGTGCTGACAGGTTTGGTTTTTGTTGAGACCTCTCTGACTTGCTGACGGTGCCTGCTCAAGTGAGTGTGTCCTCACATGGCCTTGCCGCTGTGCTCTCTGGTGTCTCTGCCTCTTCTTTTAAGAACACCAGTCCTCTTGAATTATGTTCCCACCTTTATGACCTCACGTAACCTTAGTTACCTCCTCAGAGGTCCTGTCTCTAAATACAGTCACATTGGCCGTAGGGCTTCAACATATGAATTTGGGGGGAATACAATTTAGTCCATGACAACTTTCAAACCTAAAAACTCCTCCATTAAAAAATTACAGTTGGATTTATACCCCGGGAGTTAGGGAAAATATGAAGAGAAAGAAGAAGACAAATTTAAATAGTAAAACAAATGATTGTGAATTTGAGACCAAACTCATCTAGCCATCCACAGAAGGCACTGCTCCCAGTGGAGGGAGGGGAGAGATTTAAGCGTGTGTGTATATGTGCCGGCATGTGAGTCCTTATCAACTTTTCCTCATGTCTTCAATTATTTTATACTTAGAATATTTCTTATAAATGTTACATACATCTTTTATATAATTTTACTAAATCTACATATTTGTACATTAAAAGTTGTATAAAATAAGACTAAATTAAATATGGAGTATTAAAAATCACCAAAGATAGTATAACTTTGAAAATATTATGATAATATTTAATTCATAATGTTGCCTCCATGATAGCCTAAGATAGGATATGAATTTAAATTGCAGAATAAATATTTAATGTTATCTTTCATTTGGGGATATGATTGAACTGATAGTAAAACATGGTCATCTATTTTTACTCTTTGGAGCTCGTTTATTTCAAGATAACAGCTTTGGGTGTTTAGGGAAATACCTTTATATATTTTTCTTAAATTGAAGTATAGTTGATTTACAATGTTGTATTAATTTCTGCTGTACAGCAAAGTGACTCAGTTACACACATATATACATTCTTTTTTGTATTCTTTTCCATTATGGTTTATATCAAGATATTGAATATAGTTCCCAGTGCTATACAGTAGGACCTTGTTGTTTATCCATTCTGTGTGTAGTAGTTTGCATCTACTAACCTCAAACTCCCAGTCCATCCCTCACCTCCCCCCCTCTCCCTTGGCAACCACAAGTCTGTTCTCTATGTCTGTGAGTCTGTTTCTGTTTTGGAGGTAGGTTCATTAGTGCCATACTTTAGAGTCCACATATAAGTGATATCATATGGTATTTGTCTTTCTAACTTACTTCACTTAGTATGAAAACCTCTAGCTGCAGGGAGATACCTTTAAGGTCACAGAGGGAGCGTATAAGGTCTCATTCATTTGTACCTGACCAAGCCATGGTGCTGGCACTGATGGTTTAATTTGTTCTGTGATGTAGTAAAGGATAAACATTTTGCTAAGTAATTTAATTTTGTGAAAACCTCTTAAAAGGGAATGTTAAAATACTTAAGGAAAACTATTTCAAGAGCATTAAATGAATTAAATTCTATAATTAAAATGTCTAAAACTAAGACATGAGGAACTCTAGTTATAAGCTTACATCCAGAAACTTGTACTGGGAAGTAATGAATCCATATTTCAGTTAAAATGCTTTGTATTCCATAGTTTTTATTATACTATTTCTACCAAGATTATCTAATGCAGTCAGATTTAGGTATTAATGCATTTCTACTGTGCTAAAATGTCTTTCGCAGTTGGGAGAATCAGTGTTCCATTCTGGGGAAAAAGACATTTCCTTTTCAGATTTTTCTTCATACATTATATTACTTTATAAGATTTATGTGTGTTTGTGTGTGTGTGTGTGTGTGTGTGTGTGTATTTATATAAAACCTATGAATTATGGGAAATGTCTTTGTAAGTTTGCACTGTTCTCCTGACTTGAATACAGATTACTTTTGGTACAAATACAAAAGCTGTTCATTGGTAGAAACATAGCCCTTGCCAATTTGCCTCTGAGAATGATTTCTCTTTTAATGTGATATATTTGGCACCAAGTGGTCTCAGGAGTAGCACTCTGCTCAGATTTTGATCAAAAATGCAACCTGGAATTTCTAAGCACTCTTCTGACTTTCTGTGTGATGCAGTGGCAATGTCATTTAAATGTCCCTTTTACCTTTTAAAGTAAAATTAAGCTAAATCTTTTTTCAGTTCAAGGGGACTTATCAACAAAGAAAATATTCCTTCTGGGTTCAACAACCTTGATGAATGTATTTTGAATGCTCATCATGAAGTGGAAAAATTACATGAAAATACTTCTGGTTATATTGGAGAAAGGGGCAAACCGAAACGTCAGAAATCCAGTTCCAGACTTTCTGAGCTCAGTGAACATCAAGATAGTCTTGTGGTAAGTGCATACTTCCGTAAAATCTTTACTTGTGGCCAGTTAGGGAATATCACACCTCTTTTCCTTGCTTTGTAAAAAATGTCAATGTGGAGTTTCTCAGAATTATAGAGCATGAGTTCTGAAAAAGACCTTAAGAGCTACTAAGTATACACATGTATTTCTTTCTGATAAATATAAAAATCAAGTCCAAGGTAGATTACATTTTGCCAGAGGAACAAGGGGCAACACATGCCTCGGTTTCCATGTTATTGAAATCGGTCTGAGTTTCCTCTCATTCTTTTGAGCATTTTTAAATTTTATTTTTGGAATAAAATTGTCAAAGGCAGTTTTCCTTCTATTCCCCCATTTTATTTGTTCCTGTCTATATGAATATGTAAAAAAAATGAGTGAATGAACTTAAAGTGAGGTGAAAGCAGAATACATACAGGACGAGGATCAACTGTCTTTGTGTTCAGAAATCTCTTTGTGTTCAGAAATTTAATTTCAAAGCTGTACACTATAAATAGTTTTCTTCCTCTATTACTCAGAAACAAAAAAATTAATCTCCTACACGGTTACCTCAGACCTGAACTCTGGATCGTTAATTTGATACAGAAGTTATCGCAGGTGGTTTTAGTCAATAACTAAATATTTATGCAGTTTAACTATAAATAAATGTCATCCTTTTTTGTGTATGCTTCAGTTTCTCTGAAAAGTGAGAACAAAAGTCTGTCTTCTAATTCCCTGTAGTTTGAAGAAATGTAACCAAAAGAAAAAAGAAAAACCTGAAGATGAATTTTATAATATAACATGAGCTAGCGTCCCTAATAAAAACAGGTAATAGGTAATATCCATTCTTACAATGTGTAAAGCCTCTGTTCTGCTTTATCTCTGAGCAGTTTTTACCTCCATGCTGGGTTTTCTGTAAATTTAGCAAAACTTATGGGCCACTCATTTTCCCATTGTCAATTTCTGCATGTGCTCAGAGAAGATTCCCAATTTTTTTTTTTTTTTTTGAGGTACGCGGGCCTCTCACTGCTGTGGCCTCTCCCGTTGCGGAGCACAGGCTCTGGACGCGCAGGCTCAGCGGCCATGGCTCACGGGCCCAGCCGCTCTGCAGCATGTGGGATCTTCCCGGACCGGGGCACGAACCCGTGTCCCCTGCATCAGCAGGCGGACTCTCAACCACTGCGCCACCGGGGAAGCCCCAAGATTCCCAATTTTATTCCCTAAATAAAATATGCATAAATACAAATCTGGGGAAAACATGTTTATTCCATTTTCTTCCAAATGTCTTGGAACCCTGTTTCTAGAAATAAATTGATCAGCTAGAATGGACAGAGACATCCACCTCAGACCCATGTCTGACACAGTTCTCCCACTACGGAATGTAAGCTTTGGAACCATTGCACATTAAATGGTTTTTAACACTAACTTAATTCTTATTTGGGGGAAAAGTAACATTTTTAATAAACTAAATGATACTAACTCCATTAGCTCTTTATTTGGCCCATGATTTGTTTATCTGCCGAAGAGAATTACATGACTAAAAGTCTGACACTTGGCTTCTCAGAGAAGAATGTACTTCTCTGAATCCCTTTTAAAATGAACTTAACTCATCAATATTTTTTTTCCCACCAGGAATAGTATCTTAATTAGCTAGGTGGTAATAGCTAATAAAAGTGGGAAAGTACATTTATTCCTTAGAATATGTGTGTGATTGCTAAAACTATGGACATCGTGTTTGTTTAAAAACATTTGGAGCAGAGAGCCTAATTCCATTGTGGTCTTTTTTCTGTGAAAGGGTTTGTCTCCACCTTAGCTGCCAGTTTCTGCATTCCAGGATTATGCAGGTCACATGTTAACATAAGTGAGCTAAGTGGACCGTGTCTTTGTTGCAATGAATAATTTAAAACCCTGTCAACACAACTGAGACAGAAGCAAAACTTCCTCATCTGTGAAGTGAGGGTATTCTCAAAGATCTTTTCTGACTCATATTCCATTCATTTTAAATCTCATCTTCACAGGTCACCACAAAGCAAAGAGCTAAGAAACATAACAATGACTAGTATTTAGACTAGTCCTGAAAGTGCAGCTGTGCATCTTAACTTCCCAGTTACTTTTAACCTTCTATTTTTACTTTACCCCACTCTCCTCCAGAACCTTCTCCCACTTCAAGTTCTTTATACACTGACTAAACTTTTGTTTCTGTAGCTGGAAGAACATACATAATTATATGCCTTCTGTGTGCCAGGAAATATTTCAGAATCTAGGGATACGGCTGTGAGACAGACAAGCAAAAATCACTGCCCTCACGGAGCCTACATTCCAGTAGGGGAAACAGACAAAATCAAGATAAAAAAAGTAAACCATAAAATATATTAGATGGTGATAACTATTAAGCAAGAAATAAAGCAAGAGATGAGGATAGGAATTGTGAGAGGGCGGGGGATACAATTTTAAGGAGAGTGGTCAGAGGAGACCTCCCAAGAATTTGACACTTGAGTGCAAAGACCTAGAGGAAGTAAGGAAACGAGCCATACTATCACAGCAGGTTGCAGAGACCCCGAGACAGTCACTCATCTGGAATGTTCAAGAAACCACAGAGATACTGTTAGGGTTAGAAGAGAATGGGGAAAGTGAAAGAGGTAGTTGGAAGGGGGAGAGAACAGATTACGTAGGGCCTCCTAGGTTATTGTTAAGGACTCTGCCTTTACTCCAGGTGAGATGAGAATCCATGTGAGGGTTCCAGGTAGAGCAGTGATGGGACTTACTGAAATTTGGTTTGACTGCTGTGTTGGAAATAGGCAGTAAGCAGACAAGGGCAAGAAGCAGGAACACCCGTTAGGAAACTCTCGCAATAATCTAGGTTTGCGCTGATGATGGTGTGAACTGAGGTGATACCGGAGCCGGCACGTATTGCCTTGCAGGCTGCACAGTGCAGCACTCTAGGGGGCGTTGTTCATATTGACTAACACGTGCATGGGTCCTCCTGCAGTAGTGCATTGCAGTAGTCAGGAGGTTATAGGTGGATTCTGGATAATATTTTTGAACATAGAATTGACAGGATTTCCTGACATTACGTAACTGTGGGGTGTGAAAGTAACAGAGGAGTCAAAGATGACTCCGAGGTTTTTGGCAACTAGAAGATTTGTGTGGCCAGTTTACCGAGATGGAGAAGACAGAAGTTTGGGTGATGATGTCATGGTTCAGTGTTGGACATGTTACGATTGAGCTGCCCGTCAAATGTCTAAGAGGAGATAGCAGGAAAGCAGCTGGACTTCTGCGAGTTTAGGGAGGTTATCCTGGCTGGAGATGCATCGTGGGAGCCAGCAGCAGATAGAGGCTATCTGAAGTCAGTGTACTGGATGAGATAACCGAGGGAGCGAGGATGGACAGAAAAGGGAAGTGGCCTCAGGGACCGTGAGCCCTGAGGCATACGATCGTGTAAACGATGGGGAGATGACAAGGTCCCCGTAGAGGAGACTCAAGAAGGAGACCCCAGCAAAGTAGAAAAAAATGAAGTGTGTTTGGTGTCCTGGATGCCAAGTGAACCACGTATCTCGAGTTGGAAAGAAGGTCAGATGATTGGCCGAGTAGAAGACTGAGAGCTTAGCCACTGGGATTACCAAGCTGGAGATCACTCAGTAAGAGCAGTTTTGATGGAGAGATGGGAGCAAACCATCTTCCAGAGAAAATGAGAAGAGAGTGACTGAAGAGTTTGAGTGATAATATCACAGTGATCTCACCAGCCCACAACACAGCCACAGTGACCTATAAAAGCATCTTGCAAATTTGGAATCTCTAAAGTGGGAACTGTCTGCGTACTTTCCCTTATCCTTTTTCCTCTCGGGGCTGTCATGACCAGCCGAGACTAAGAGACTACAGATAATTCAGAGCCCCGAAATTAGTGAGTGGCATTCAGGTGCTCTGCCTTATCTCTAATTATTGCCGTGGTCCCAACCTTTTCCTCTCTCCTTGCACTGCTAGCTCACACCTGTGCTCTTCGGCCTTTCTCAGAAGGAAACCTTGCCCCCTGGTTTATTTTGAAGAGCTAAGAGAGCCAGCCTGTGTTTCAGCAGCTTCCCTCACTCATGCTTCAAACTTTCTCTAGATCTCCACCCATTTTATTTTCTCACCTGCTCAAATGATAAAGTGGTTTTTCTAAATTCTAAGGTTAACTTTAAGGTTAAGTATCCTTGGAAATTCTGTTTTCTACATCCATCTCCCCACCCCATGTACGTGTACAAACACATACACAAACTCACTCCCTCACTCATACGGACACTTTTCATTGCTTCCTCTCCACTGGCTTATTTCTGTCAGCCTAGAAAATGTCTCTGTCTCTAAAAACATTCTTTCTAGGGCACAATTTAACAGTTTGAATCAAAAGCTATAACTCAGTCACGCAGTGTATCTTATAATCCTACCTCTGCCACCCTGCTCTAGAGACATTGTAAATATGGAAAAAACTGTAAGTATTAATTTGCTCACCACGTGAGTATCTATAATCATGGAAAATTAGAAGCAATTTAAATGTTCAAAAGTAGGAGACCAGATAAGTAACATTTGCATGTCAATTCAATAAAATATTATGCGTCGAATAAAAATTATGGTTCTGAAGACTATGTAATAAAGTGAAAACTGTTTAGCAAGGTGTATTTTAAGTGATTTGCATATATTATCAATTTTAATCCTCCAGTAATCCATAAGGTAGTTATTGTTTTTAATATTCTTATTCTAAACATGAGGAGACTGAGGTACAGGAGATTAAACAGCTGCCCAAGGTCACACATAAGTGGTGGAGCTCGGATTCCACGATACTCTCCCTCAATATTAAAAGTAGGTTATAGGGCTTCCCTGGTGGCGCAGTGGTTGAGAATCTGCCTGCTAATACAGGGGACAGGGGTTCAAGCCCTGGTCTGGGAGGATCCCACATGCCGTGGGGCAACTAGGCCCGTGAGCCACAACTACTGAGCCTGCGCGTCTGGAGCCTGTGCTCCGCAACAACGGTGAGAGGC